ACTTTGTTGGTGAAAGAACCCACAGTGACAATGAACATTTGCATTCCTTAGAGTTAATACCTTGGGTTAAAAAACTCTTTAGGGGGCCAGTGTTGTGTCACAGCAGGTTAAGCCGCCCATGCAATGCCAGCATCCTGAATCAGAGTGCCTGGCTGTTCTGCTTCTGATCCAGCTTCCTGCTAATAGGCCTAGGAAGACACTGCATGATGGCCCAAGTGTTTGGGCCCCTGCCTCCCTCCACTTCATATGGAAGACACAGCTAGAATTCCTGGCTCCTGGCTCCTGGCTTCAGCCTGGCCCGGCTCTGGATGTTGTGGCTATTTGGGAAGTGAACAAGCAGACTTTTTTTTTTTTTTTTTTAGGTCTTATTTATTTATTTATTTATTTGAAAGGCAAATTTAGAGAGGGAGTGGGAGAGGAAGGGGTGGGGAGGGAGAGACAGAGAGCTCTTCCATCTGCTGGTTCACTCCCCAAGTGGCTGCAATGGCCAGGACAGGGCCAGGTCAAAGCCAGAAGCTAGGAGCTTCTTCCAGGTCTCCCACCTGGGTGCAGGGACCCAGGTACCTGGGCCGTCCTCTGCAGCTTTCCCAGGCCATTAGCAGGGAGCTGGATCAGAAGTGATTTAGTGGGATGCCGGCTTCTCAGGTGGCAGCTTAATCTGCTATGCCACAACACTGGCCCCAGTTAACCAGCAGATTGAAGATTGAGCTCCCCCAACCTTTCCAATAAATAAGTCAATATTTTCTTTAAAAAAAACTTTTTAGTATGGTTCTGCACTTTGGTTTCAGGAAGCCTTGCCTGTGCTTCTCCATGCTGTGGCTCTCCAAGAGGGCTGCTGAGCTTTGCACTGTAACTAAACCTCAGGCCAGGGGCCCTTCTTTGGGGAGGGAGAGAGGGTACCCTCAGGGGGCGCGGCCACAGAGCAGTTTCATGAGATGCTAACAATAAGCAAAACTTCATGTAACTTTATCACATAGTTCAGAAGTTGAAGGATCAAATTAACAGGAATTTGAGTCCTGAGTGAATATTGCCGAGTACTTTGTCACTGATGGGAATATAAATGGTTACAAGTACCTGTCCCACCACGCCTCCCAACAGCTGTGATGGTGCATTTTCTGATTGATCTAATGTAGCGGTGTTTCTAGGACTGCAGTGAGCCTCAGGCTTTTTTTCATGTTCTTGACTACGTACTGCTGCTCTTGTGAATTCCTTCCCAGATCTTTGGCTTGCCTTTTGGGATCTCAGCTGTTCCTATGAAGAGAAATAGGCAGTTCTTATGATCTGACATTAACACAGAATTTCATGTGTTGATAGCACTTATTTTTCCCAATGTCTTGTTTCCCATTTAATTTTTCAGTTGTGTTCTTTTTGAACATGTGGACGTTCTTCATGCCTGTGAGTTCTCTACAGTATTTCCTTTTGTAGTTTTTTCACCATTTTTAAGCTTTAAAAAAACCCTTATATAAAGCTTTATTCAGACCCTTAACAAATAATCACTTCTTGGTTTGTTGTTGTTGCTGATGTTAACTCTTAACCCTTTTAAAATTTAATTTCTCTTACTTCACTCTGCTCCCAAAAAATAACTAACCAAATTTTGTAGCGCTGTTTTTTTGAATAATTTTCCCTTTCCAAAGTAATATATTATGCCTGTGCCATGGATAATAATTTCTATGAAAAAAATAATTTATCTCCATTTCCTAAATTAGCAAATTGACACGAAGGGCACTTCATTCATGATTAGTTACTTCAGCTTGTTTCACAATTGCATTTCAACTACTGGATGAGACAGGCATAGATTGTGCTATTACTATGAGGCAAACCATGAAAAGTGTAAGCTGACTTACAACTTAATTTGATATTATGATAAAATGTCCTTTCTTGAAGCTCCTGGGGAAATCACTTAGAAGAACCAGAAAGGAAAATTTGTTCAGAATCCGTGTTAATAATAAAAGCAGCCACTTCAGCCACTTTCTCAACATTATCAAGTTTAATGCTGACAATCCATGTCCCAGCCCAGGCAGCCAGGACAGAGGAATCACTTGGGTGGAGTCTGACGGCCGGAAGGGTAGAACAGGCCACCTCCAGGGCCCTTTATCACCAGACCTGCTCCAGTTGGGGGGCAGTGACAGCGTAGAGTCCCCAAGGGACCCTCTTTTTCAGATAGTGTCTGTATATTATCTAAGAGTAAGGGTTATGCCACACCACTCTCATTTGTAGAATAAAAGTAGTATTCAACTTAAGATCCACATCACCAAAGATAAATAGGCGGATGGCATTTTGAATTCTGTCTCCTACAAGACTGGACTTGGGTACGTTGGAGGTGAGAAATTGCTCCTCTCTGGTGTGGGAATGTAGTGCAGACCAATCCCCGCACTGTGGGTCAGGAGGCAAGACCCTCTTATCCAGGCAGGTCCGTTGGCTTAGCCAAAGCACACCAGCTCTTATTTTCTCAAACATTCTTTCTCTACAAGGTCGCATGGAAATTGCAGAACAATTCCTCAGCCGCAAGTTGCGTTTCAGGCAGTGGTTTAGTTCTGAAGCCTCGTGGAGCCAGCATCGCCCTGCAGAGACAAGCAGTTGCTTGTTCCCCACACGGGGCTGTGCCCTCTGGTTTGCCAGCTTTGCAGCTCCCTGCGTTGATCCCATCTCAAGTCCCCCGGGAGCCACTTTTGTGGCAGATTCCATTAGGTTTCACAGGCGGGCCCCTGAGGAGGGGCGGCCGGGCCCACTTGGCTTGGCCCCGCAGTCTCCCACTCTAGGAGCAATTTGCAAACCGCTCTGGGAGGGAGCCCAGCCCAGCCCTGCACTGGCCGCCCCTGTGACCACCATTGTCTGCGGGTGGTTCGCCTTTTCCCAGCTGACCTGCCTGCAAGTGCAGAATGTGAAAAGTTAGAGACAAAACTGGTTTCTGCAAGAGGAGGCCAGCTTTCTTGTACAGAAAGGAAGGAAATACCTCTGTGGGATTTTATTTTTTCCCCCCTCTTCATCCAAAAAATACAAAGAGACTCTCTGTCTTTAATGCGAATGTCGGCTTTAAATCTTTTAGGTTTGGATTAACTCTGCAAAAGAAAAAAAAATCTGACAGGCTTTCAGATATGACGCAGAAAACTTTTTTCCCCTCAATGCGTGTTGTTCATTTGTAAAGCCAAAGGCTGGGGCACTGAATAGTGGGCGCCACTTGCTTCTCCTTTCATCGTTAGCATCACAATGCCCAGAATTAGCAGCCTCCAGTCTCTCCACCACTTTTGCCTTTTCCACCGGGGACATTTAACACAAGGTGGCGGCGAGGACAAGAATAAATCTTTCTTCTCTGGCCTCCCAAATTAAAATATATGAAAATTAAGCCAAGCAAATGTGGTATTTTCCATACATGCCTTGGAATCTTATCTTACCTTTTCCCCTAGAAGGAAAGAGAAATGTGGTTTTTTTCTGTTATTACCTTACTAGAAATCTTGCTTCAATGGAAACAAAACCCACTGCCTTGATGGACATTTCCTATTACACAGTCGGTGTTGGTTTTCACTATTGAGGATGTCAGCAAACATGAGGAAGATCATGTTTTGCTTATTAAATAAAGTGACTTTTATGTGAATATTTTTCATCTTTTTGGTGTCTATGATATGGGTGCTATCCACAGAAACCATGTGCAAAATTTGTTTGGGGAAAATCGTTTCATAATAGCATGTTTGTATTTTAAATGTAGTCAGAACTCCTCAATCCTAAGGAGCAAAATACCCTTAGCAACCTTGAACCCACAGTCGGTATCGATGAGCCAATGTTGGAAAACCCATAAGCAGTTCCTGGTGCTCAGTTGAGAGTCCAAATAAATAGGTAATCAGAACTTTAATTTAAAACTGGTAACTGTTGTGTTTGATTGCTTATTAGGACTAGTTTTGTGTAATTGTGAAACTGCCTAGGAAAATTGACCTGCGTATCATTTTCAATTCCCAAACTTTATCTAGTTTAAAACAATGTGAAAAGAAAGGAAGAAATGTGCTGTGTGTAGGATGCAGATGTGCATGTGTTGCAGGCTGTGTTATAGCAGGAGCGTAACAATGCATTTATGGACTTGGGTGGTGTAAATTTACTCTTAGCAAAAAAGCGAAACCAAATCCTTCTTTTGGTTTAATTTTACAACACTATTCCTTTATTCTATAACACTATTCATTTTACGCTGTAATCTGTTACAAAACTATTTTTTATTATAATTGCAAGCAACAAATAGAACTTATTACTTTTTAAATTTATAGGATTGTTTTTTTCCAAACCAAAAGGCTCTGATACAGCAACTTGGAATTCAGTACAAAGTATTGTTGGTTTTAATATGCTTTTATTTAGGTTTTATATAAAATATTTAGTTTGACCTTAGCAATAACAGGTATATATAAATACAGGTTATATAAATCACTGAACAAAAATTAAGATTCCTCCTACCTTAGATAAAAATAATCAGATTATTATTTTCATAAATATCCTAACTTGATTATGGTATAGTCATGATTTATCTGGATGATTTTTAATATCCAGTAATTTTTGCAAAAGTAATTTTTTCACTTTCCAGAAAAAGTAAATTTAGTTCCTAACTAGTATTTATTTTATATTATCTTATTATTATAAAGAAATTTAATCCAGAGTATATTTTCAGTTTATTAAAAAAGATTGACTTTGATTTTCCAAGTTGTAAAAGAAAGTCAAGGTTTATTACTCCATGTATTCATGACCACAATTATGAAAATTTCACATGAAAATATGAAAAGACTGGGGACATGACAAAACTTTGCTATGACAGGAACCTGAGGGAAAAATATTTACTAAGTGTACTTTTTAACACATTTTGCTTTGAATTCCAAATGTTTCGTAAGTTTGATTCAGATTTATTATATATTCTTTTACAGAATTATAGTCTTAACATTATTTTACTTAAAAGTCATCGGAAAACTAAACATAAATAATGCACTTCTTGGATTTTAAAATAACATTGTTTGTGCTGACTTTTGCAGGCAGCCATGTTGTTTAGCTCCGGAGTCTTTTGGACGGGTTTGTTGTTCATTCCTGTGGCGTCTTTGCTTCTTGATGTGGCATACAAGGTGTAAGTATGTACTCGGCTACATACCAAAAGCCGTAGGTGCATGTTAATCCTGGATTTCACTAGTTGTAACACCAACTCAAGCATGTCGAGTTGGCAGAATAGAAACTAGTAATATTACTTTTTTATTTTTTTTGGAATTAAAAGATAAATTTATTTCAATGCAAGCAAAATTTTAAATCCATCTATAATTTTTCAAAATACAGATTTTTCCATGAAGTTTTCGAAGTTCATGGAAAGTACGTGTTACTTAATTTTACACAAATAAAGAAAAAAAGAGTGATTCAAGAACCAGAAAACTAAATTATTTAAAAGACCAAATGAAAAATAAAGCAAGTTGTCTCAATTAAAACCCCAAGAACTGCATTCATTGCATGGGAGAAAAATTACACTAAGGAATTCATTTTTTTTTTAGAAATTATCTTGAAAACCCATACAGAGTAGAAGAAAAAAAAATTCTGCTATCTCCAAATACATCTTTATTAATAGTTGCAAAAATAAATTGCTTGCCTGTTTCTAGATACATGTAAAATAGAATATGGAAGAAATGAAAACTGTACTGTTTTTTCTTAAGGATTATGAATTTAGAATTTTATCTCTTTCTACCAAAAAATGTTCCATTAGAGGTCATTCTATGATGTTTATTTAGTAACTATGAGTTGTAATATTATAAACCTAAACCATTTATTCTTTTAAGATTAGTGTCCCTGTCATTATATTGGTGCTCAAACCTACTGTCACGTCTTAGATTCTGTTGGAAAACTGCTTGGGCTCTGGTCACTTTTGTGCTTACGGACAGCCTGATAATAACCCAGAGCTCAGTTCACGCAAGTGTTTCCGTGCAAATCCCTTTTATGTTTCCTGCAGTATCAAGAGGACCGCTTTTAAGACGTTAGTAGATGAAGTTCAGGAACTGGAGGCGAAATCTCAAGACCCAGGAGCCGTTGTGCTGGGGAAAAGGTAAAACACACTGAATAGTTCTTTTCCAAGTGAACTTTAAGGTTGTCTTCTACTGGTGTTTGGAAGTAAACAATAAAATTTGCATTTATTAGCTGACATGCGGCTGTCAATGTTGTTGACAGATTTGGGAATCTGAGATATTCTATCACTAAGTGATGTATAACCTCAGCCAAGCGGCTTAATGCTACTGGGCTCCATTTCTCCCTCAATAAAATGGAGGTGATAATGCCTACTTCATGGTTGGTTGTAAGAAGTGAATAAAATATCACAAAACACAGAGCATATTGCCTGTGCTCCATGAGCATTAAACAAAGGATTGTCATAAATATCATTATTAAGTTAAAAGGGAATGAAAAGACTCTTAGCTTGAAACAGCATCTAAAATAATGTGTCATCAAAATCATAGTTAGCCGTATAGCAGATCACCCTATGGTTATTATGATTTAGCACATTATTAGGAACTGACCTAAATGTATATCGTATACCAAGTGTCTTCCAAGTTTCCTTCCTCACCACCACCATTCCTCCACCTCCAAAAAAAAATTAGAAAGCTAATCAAATTTAATAAACTCATAAAGCCTTCTAAAAAGAATTTAAAATATTTGAAAGCAGTCCATAATTTAAAAAAGAAAAAACATGATAGTGACAGAGACTTGTTCTGTTTTTTTCTCTTTTATCATACTAAAGTGACCTAAAGATTTGTCTAACCCACAGGAAATGTTTTCCCCAGGTATATGTCACCCTAATCACAGTTCACTGGTGATACTCAGGTTGGCGCAGTGGAGTAGGTGTCAGACTGGGAACCCAGGCGGAGACCTTGACCTTCAGCTCCCGTTCACACACCAGTGTGTGCCTCTCTGCAGCACTGACCTGTGTGAGCCCTCACTCTGGGCCAGGAGCTTCACCCACTTTTCATATGCCCTGTCTCACTGAGACCCTGTCCAGACTGATCATCGCTGTTTTTTCCCAGATGGGATGAGTAGGACTGAAAGCCGGGATGGGGCGTGTCCTGCCCCAGGGCCAAGGTAAGGCCTGTGAAATCACTGGCTCTGGCCCTGCCAAGGCAACCACAGGTGGGACTCGAAACTCATTAAATCTATAGCAGGCTCCTTGTTAGGTTGTTAACGTTGTATGGCTTACAAATGGTGGTGTAAATATCCAAAGGACCCTTGGCAGAAAAAAAGGTTCCCACCCCTGACTTAGACTAAATCCCCAAGAGTGGAAGTAACAGAGCTTGACCTTGAGCCATGACAGTTGATCCAGAGCTTCTGCCTCCTTTGGCTGCTTTTTCAAGAATGTGGTATTTCACAGCCACCTCCCTAAACTGATGTTCCTGTGTATTCAATGGGAATGATAAAACCTGCTTTTGAGGTGGTAGGCATTCTCTTCCCTCCATCTTCCCCATCACTGAAAAATGCCCGTCATGGTGGGGACCAGCGCCGTAGCACAATGCGGGAAGCTCCCACTTGAGATGCTGGCGTCCTGTACTGTTGTACCGGTTGGGCCTGGCTCCTCTGCTTCCAAACCAGCTCCCTGCTAACCCACCTCAGAAAGCAGCAGCCGATGTTCCAAGTGCTTGGGTCCCTGCCACCCATGTGGGAGACCCAGATAGGGCTCCTGGCTCCTGGCTCCGGCCTGGCCCAGCCCTGGCCATTGTGACCATCTGGGGAGTAAACCAGCAGAGGAAGATATTTCTCTCTCTCTTCCTGCTCTGCATCTCAAATAAACAAATCTTAATACTAAATTTGTAAAAGCATTACAGAGTTCATGGTATGAAAATGCCTGTTCCGTTGCCCAACTGTTTGTCAGTGTTTTTTTATCTGTTTCTCTCTCCTGGCAAAAAGAGTGAGCTGAGTTCCAGCTCACAAAATTGTTTATCAACATTCACTAGTGAAAAGCCACTGATAATAGTACTACTATCCTTCGAGGAAATGTCTCCTAGTTTATAAGTATGTCTTAAAACCCTACAGCAAGCCCTTGCATGGGAAACTCGCTTGTCTGCTTTGTAGTAACCTCAACAATGTTCATCAGTCCGAGGGTTCATTATGAGGACTGCAGGTCATAAACATTGAGGGCAGCTGCAATCTATGTAGCTTCTTCCATAAAGCAAAATCAGTCCAAGAACCTAAAAAGAAAAGAAGTGAATTCCACCATAAATGACTTCCAACTTCTCTGTAGAAAAATGCATCAAATTCCCTGCTGCTGCCTAGCTCAGTTGCCTAAAGTAGCTATTCAGCTTTTTCCAAGTGCTCAGGGACAAGTGCGCTATTGGCTCAACGCTGCTCACCGAAACCCCTGGGACAGCACACGTTCCGTGGCCCTTGTTGCCCACTGGTGTGATCAGACAGCCAGTAAGCCGGGTAACCATGATGACTGCCTGCTGGATCACAGCTGGAGGGCTGGGGAGAGAAAGGAGCTGAGAGAAGAGGAAGATAGCAACTGGGTGTGCACGTTTCCATGCTCAAGTAATTACACTCAAAGGCAGTTAAAGAATTGTCAGGTTGATTTTACTGCCAGCATTATTTTAGGAATCTTGGAGAATGAGGGTGATTCAAATTTCAAAAAGTTAGTACATTTTACCTGCATCGTCAAGAGGAGAGAACCTGCAGTGTGTACATTCCAGCCCTCTCAGATGTCCTTCGGTTCAAAAACACCATGTTACTGGATGCCTCCCAGTCTTCATCCATGCCATTCCCTTCTTACCTGGTATTCCTCTTACATTACTCTTTGCAAAACCCAGTATAAAATGCAATTTCTCCTACTTCCCACATGTAAAGTGAATGAATTCTTAACCCATTATCTGTTTACCTTAGGTAAACTTCTGTTGTTGCATTTATTGCGTTGCATCCTAATGTGTTTGTTTACTGTGTGTGCTGTGGTTTCCCTACCAGCTAAGGGTAGGCTATGTTTTAATCATATTGCAACCCAACCCCAAGCATTTGTTAAATATGTATTGAGTGGTCAAGGAAATGAACTAAGGCATGAATGAAAGGGCAGCTGGAAGGATGGTTGGTTTGTTGGCAGTGGACCTAAAACAGAATTACTTAAGCTATACGTCCCAAATTAGGCAGTGTCAAGCAAGCAATTGTTCACTCATTTGTTGTAGAATGATGAAGTTCTTTACTTAAGAAAAGTCATGTGATTTGATCAGCTCCAATTTTTTTAGTCTTTACTAAGTACTGTTAAGCTCAAGTTATATATAAAATGTATGTGTCAGAGTAACTTACATTGTAAGCATTGTGTATTTACATATTTTTCCATTCGCAAAAAATTAAAACAACTTGCTTAAAATAGTCATTTTTAGTATAAATAGTATAGTGCTTGTAGTATCCATATAATTAGATACATTCCATAAAGCTTTAGGAGGAAAAGTACATTTCTTCAGTCTAAATATATCGCTCTGAGCCATGGATTATAGTAGGAATCAATTTAAGTCTAAAATGTTGGAAAAATAACCCAAACCTTACTCCAAATCAGCCATGTAGCCAGTGACTTCTTATTTTTAACTGAGAAAAGTAGTCATGAGAAGTAAAACCCTGTTCTTTCCCTAATTTTTATGTGGACAAACTCCAACACTAGGGAACAGAACCATAACAGTTCCAAAATCTGAAATTCAAAAATTTATTCTCTCTATGTTTGAGTGAAACATTGGCAAGAAAACAAGAACCATTTGTCCAATAACTGTAAGGACAATTATAGTGTTTACATATTTCACATTGTAAAGATTTATACATTTTGTGGCAGATATATTGAGTTTTTTTGAATATGGGTTTCCCAACCCCATCTAGTATTACATATATAAGTAATTACTATTTCTAAAACAAGACCAAAAACATGTGAATTCAAAAACACAAATATTTTTAAAAATGAAATTATGGATACTGTGGGTTCATTGGAAGCATGGCAGTTGCTTTGGGGTTTCATTGGCATGTATGGGAAGTGATGCATCTTATAGACAGGCAAATATGGTAATGATTCTCATAATTTGTATTCCTCACCACAGATGTTAGCAGCATATCTTCATCACCATTCCTCAACACAATCTGAGTCTAGACTGTGAGGCCAGTCCTCTTGTTTGACCCATGGCCTCAGTAGGAAAGAAGAGAGCAGGACATGGGGTGTCTGATAATGCGGCCATGCAGGTGGTGACGATGCTCCCTCTCGGCTTTTCCTGGCGTTGCTCATCGTCATGAAAAGCAGTTTTAACATTGACCCAAATCTAATGGACAAGAAATTATGTTTCTCAATTTTCACTCTGAATTTTATATCAGTATCGCATAACTACCTTAGTGGGGAGTTGAGGACAGAGGACTATATCAAATGTTTTCCCCCAGTCTTTTCTTAGTACTGAAATAATGGTTCTGTCCAATATTGGTAGACAAGTGACAGAACGATGAACTGTGATCCCCTTCAGTGTAGAGATCAGGCCTGATGTGTTCTTTTATCATCCTGCCACCACCACTACCTAGTACAGAACAGCCATCGCATGCTACACATTAAACATCCCATAAGTTAGTGGTTCTTTACTTTCTATAGATTCACTTAAATGCACCCACCAAAATAACTTACCCAGCCCAATATGCAGGCAAATGCAAATTTACCACTCTTCAAAGATCACTGAAAATACCGTATTTTAACACATTCTAACACATTCTGGATCTGTAAATGGGTTTTTATAAATGAGATATTATTTTTAAACACAATCTCTTTTTACTCACCTCCACCAAATATCTAAGTTGCAATATTTTGGTGGGTTTAGAAATAAGGAAGAAATATTTAAGGGCTAGTTATTGTGTAACTGCATTAAACAAACTCAGAATTTGCATAGCTGGGTATATAAATGAAAGACTGTACAAGATTCTGTAAAACTGCTAGGCAAGAATTGCGAATAAGGTGTGGTTTTATTAAGAAGATATCATAGTTTTGTTTTTCTTCTGACACTGTGTTAAGATGTTTAAAAAGAAACAACTTTTAATGTTAATGTTACCAGTATACTTTGGAATATGACTTGTAATATCAGTATCCATAAACATCAGTACACAAAATTGCATACATTTTGAAATGATGAGTAGTTCCCCAAAGATAGGAAAAGTCTATAGAAATACAACTACACTATCACTTATTATTTGTTAAGTACTCTCCCGTGAGTGCTATTTGTATTCTGAAGCAGGGACTTTGCTCTACCAAGACAAAAGCAAAAAGTTCAAAGTAGCTAAGGAAAAACAAGGCCTCCACAACAGAAGACCTAGTAGTTTTCTTACTAAGTAGATGGGAGGAGGGCATTACAAATTCAAACTCACGTGTAGCAATAGGCATCTTGCATTGAGGTCAGATTGAATATAAACTAAGGCATCAAAATGATCTGGGGTGGATGTTTGGCCAGTAATTAGGACGCTGCATGGAATGCCCACATGCCAGAGTGCCTGAATCCAAGTCCCAGATCCGCTCTTGACTGTGGCGTCCTTCCTGTGAGCACCGTAGGAGGCAGCAAGTAATCGCTCCAGTATTTGGGCCATGTCACCCTTGTGGGAGACCTGGACTGAGTCCCTGCTTTCTAGCTTCATCCTGGCCCAGTCCCAGCTGCTGCAACCGTTTGAGCAGTGAACCAGAGGATTCGAGTCTGTCTGTCTGTCTGTCTCCCTCTCCCCTTTTCTCCCCCTCTCTTCTCCCTCACTGTCTCTCCCTCTCCCTCTCCTCTCTGTCCTTTTCCCTCTCACCCCCCTCCCTCTCTCCCTTCCCCTTCACCCTTCCCCCCTCCTTCTCTCTCCCTCTCTCTCTCCTTCCCGCCATCTCATATAAATAAAAATTGTAAAGGCTTACTAGCAACTTTTAAAAAGTGACTCTTGCAAAGTACCTTTTGTTTTGTGGTGATCTCTGTTATAGTTGGATTCCTTAGACTCTGGGGGATACTAGTAGGAGGGACCAGCATTTGGTGTGTCACTCGTGCTAACAACTGCTCGAACTCGCAGTCTGCCCCGGAGTTGAGTACTGTCCTCCTATTACATAGGAGACGACAGAGAGAGGTTTGCCTATGGTGACCCAGCTGAGAGGCTAGCACGCAGCAGACTCAGAGTCAGACCAAAGAAGATGCCGATTCTGTACCTCTGCTGTGAGTGTGTTACTATGAACCAAAAAAGAACCTTTCTTATTGGTTCCAAGAGCGGACCGAGCAGACTCGTTGTACAGCCACACACGGCAGCGCGGCTCACACAGACATTAACTAGATGTAATAGCTAAGTGAGAGAGAGCCTTATAAGAACCATTACAGAACAAAGTTAGACAATTTCAATTCTCATAATAGGAAAGATAAAATCCTTCTGTCTGCCTTCTTCACACTGAGTGCAGTAATATTGAAGTGCCAGGCATTAGGGAGGTGGGCCTGAAACCTGGAAAATGTGTGTGGGGGGGGAGAGGCTGCACAGGGATGCATTGCCCTCTGCTTGTCTTCTGCAGTCATTCCAGCTCTGAGCACCAGGGACTGCCCAGCACCCCGTCCGCTGAAGCCCTGCTAACTAAACCAGACCACCTGCCACTCAGGCTGCAGACTTCCCCAAAGCAGTTACATACTTTAGTATCCCTCAGGGCCCCGGGGGTCTGTAATGTTAGATCATTTAGAGAAGAATGGGGAAAGAAAAGTGACTTGGTCAAAAGGGTCCCTTCACATTCCCCTTATCTGTTTATCTCACTGTCAGAAATAAGTTTTACATCTCGTTGCAGAACCACTGGAATCTTAGATTCATTTTCTCGCCTTAATGTAGCTTATTCCCTATGACAATAAAATATGCCTAATAAGTACTAGTTACCATCCCTAGGCTTTAAAAAAATGTGTGGAAGATTACTGCACATGTCAGCAGTTATAAATATTTTCCCTTCAGTTTCTGCCTAAATGTTTGTGTAGTTCATTTACGCAGTGAATTCATTTGGACGACCCTTTTTTTGTATATGATAAAGATTGTTCCATTTCAGAGACTCCAAAAATTGGCAAAATATAGAACTAACAATTTACAGCAACTTCACTAAAGCTTTTATAGTGGGAAAAGCATAAGATGGAAACTTTTCAACTGAATCAGTTCCAGTTATTAAAACAAAATTGCATAAACATTTGCTGCAACACATGTGGATGACTTATTTGCTCCTCATGCTTATTACGTTCTTTGTAGCAAAGCAAAGCAATAGGGAAGTGGCATGATTAGGATTATTGATCCTAGGGCTTATAAGTACATTTCAGAATTACTCAAATTTATTAATTCAACAAATATTTGAGTTCCTACTACGTAAGACACAATCCTATGTACAGTGGGCAAAAAGATGATTATTGTTTACAGTGTGCTTCTAGCAATTGCACAATTAATTATATAGATTTGTATCTTTGGAGAATGAATAAATATTTTTCCTTGTTATTTACCTGTTATAATTATATTCTGAAAATGTTCTTTATTTTAAAATGAAACTAAGAAATACTTTTATGCCATATTAGAGCAGTAATGAAATTTTTCTAATAAAAAATCTATAAAATTTTCTTCTTGTAGCTTTTAAGATTTCTTTAACATAACAGAAAATATCATTTGGCACCAAAATACATCTAAAATATGAAAAGCATATAGTAATGATCTAATTTTTAACTCTACAAATGCCATGCTTAGAATCCATGTAGTATGTCAACCAAGTTTTTAGAAACTAATACTATCAAGTGATTTCTTTTTTTTATTAATTGTATTGTGCAGGTTCTGTATCTTCATTTGACTTAAATATAAGTAGGGGGTGAGAAATCCAACTTTTTATTGGATTATTAGGACAATGCTCCTCCTTTGCTATAGGAAAAATGACCTGTCTAAAATATTTGAAATCTCATTTGCTATTTGAGAAAATAGAATAAAAAGAAGCGTAAGGCTACAGAGGTCTCGAGCGATCTTTTGTTTAAGTCTGACTCTCTCTGGTGGTCCTGTGGGCACACTCGGGCTCTGCCGAGCTAAGGATTCCTTTCTCACGTTTGCACCTGCTCCGCAGCCTCACCGAGAGAGCGCAGCTGCTCAAGAACGTCTTTAAGAAGAACCACGTGAACCTGTACCGGTCTGAGTCGCTGCAACAAAACCTGCTCCGTGAGTATTCGAGTGTTTATTTTAGATAGATTATCTGCCATTATGTATCATAGCATCTATCAGAGTAGCATTTTGACTTGGGGATATTTAACCATTTAAAATTAACACTTAAAACAGATTTTCCATGTTTGCAACATGTGATGTAACTAACATGGTTAGAATCCACCGGGCACAATCATCTTGCTTTTAATGAAAAAGAGCATTTTAAAATCTTGCTTAAAGAAAAGCAATAATATTTTCACATTCTTTGCTTCCTTAAATCTTAAAAAGAACCAGTAAAGTAAATCTTCTCTTAAGAGCTACCACTGTGTTGTTATCTTTTCTACTTGAATAACTTTCCAAGAGTCTCTTCAGCTTTTAAGCAGCGCAAGGAGACATATATTTTCCCCTTCAAAAATATTTATGAATATTTAGACTTGTGAGAAATTATTAGGCATTTTGCCCTCTTAGCATTTCAAGGATCTAAAGGAGAATATAATATATAAAGCCCCGTAGTAAATTTGTATTTGTAATGTAGCTTTTGTTTCATGTTGTTTCCATCTGTGATTTACTTTCATTTAGATATCCTCATGCTTAATGCTTTTTCTTGTTATATTTCAAGAGGCCTTTTCTAGAAATGTGATCCCCTTGGGGGTCATTTCTTATCCCCACGCCCTGTCCACCCACGTTGCGGCATCTCTGAGTTTATCTGCAGATGTCGTGAGCCAGGAGGATGTCGAGTGAGGGATGGAGACTGCTTTGCCCCCATTAGCAGCTGCTTGCTTTCATTTCCCCCTCCTGCATCTTTTTAATCATCAAATAATAAGTGTATGGGTTATGTGGCGCAGTGTGAGGCAGTGATGTGTGCAGACACTATGGAATGATTAAATCAACTGCTTGCCGAAGTCCTCCCCTCACCCATGGGTCCTTGGCCTTCCCTCTCATGCACCTGACCTGTATGGAAATGCACGTGCCCACTTCACTCCCTCACCCTCTCTCATGGTGGTGGAGTAAAAGTTAGGGGAGTTGAACTTCAGAGACTGAGGATTAAGGGGCTGGAGAGTGTCTGCTCAGTCTTCCAGGGAGCAGAATTCGTAGACGCAAAAGCACAGCCTACGATCATCCCACAGTTCATCTTCAGCTTGAATCTGTCTTTACCAGACGTGATAAATCAGTGTCTGTGCCTTTGAAGGTGAAACACATGCTTGAGCTCTTCGGGTTAGGAAAAAAGTCCTCAAGGGACAGACATTTGGCACAGCAATTAGGACAGTGCTAGTGACACCCATATCCTGTATCAGAGAGCCAAGTTCGAGTCCTGTCTCTACCCGATTCCTGCTTCCTGCTAACGTTCGCCCTGAGAGGAGGCAGGTGATGACTTAAGTACTTGAGTTCCTGCCACCCATGTGGAAGACTCAGGGTTAAGCTCCTGGCTTTAGCCTGGCTCAGCTCTGGCTGTTGTCTGCATTTGAAGAGTGAACCAGCAGATGGAAGTCCCTCTCCCTCTCCCTCTCCCTCTCCCTCTCCCTCTCCCTCTCCCTCTCCCTCTCCCACTCCCACTCCCACTCCCACTCCCACTCCCACTCCTTTCCTCCCTCCCCCTTACTCCCTCTCCCTGCCCCCGCCTTTCAAATAAATTAAGGAAATAAATATTTTTAAATAGTTAAAATGGTAAATTTTAAAAAAAGAAAATGTTCAAAAATTGGACTAACAGTGATTCCTGGCAACTTCGTGATGATGATCCGTGTTGTCATTCACTGCAGATGGGTACGCTTTCTCTCAAGATGAGAATGGGATCGTTTCACAGTCCGAAGTGATTAGAGCATATGATACCACGAAACAGAGGCCCGAAGAGTGGTGATGACAAGGGGCAGGGGGCAGGCCCTGCTCCGCCTCTTAGGAGAGCTACAGGTCAACACCGCAGTCTGCTGACCACTTCCAGCCTGGCCCACGGGGAGGAAAGGTGGATCTGAGCTCCTCTCACAGCTGGAGCCTCAGATTCGTGTACATCATAGACATAAGCACTGTGCGACTAGACTGTAACACCATCTCTCTCAGATTTTTTAAAGTATTTGCTAAGTCTTTGTAAACAGCAATTGAAAATGATCTTGTATCTTGCAATAGGTCAGCGTTCTTATGCCGTTAACTCTGGGACTATGACTATCAGTTTACTGGCTCTGCCACGTGGTGACCAACCATTAAAACAACTCCGAAGTGGTGTGAAGTTAACAGGGACTCGACATCCAGGCGTAGATGGCAGGGCATGCTGAAACAAACCAGCATTAAGGAACGGACTCACCTTACTGAGCATCTCGCAACAAGGCATTAATAAGTGTTCGTGTCAAACATTGTCTTGATAAATGTTTGCCAAAGAAGTTCAGTAAGTGTATTTCTCATCCAGTAGTCATCTGCCCAGAAATTTAAGAGAAAGTTTACTTCCAGTTCTGCTGTGAGATCTGCATGCTTGACTTTTCCAATGTAAGAGTGATTTGCAAAATGACTGTCTCAAGGCATTTGCTACTCAAATCTGTGATGTTGCACCTTTGGCCTTACAAATGCTTCTTTGTTGTCTGTCTTGTTGACTTGCTAGAGGGCACAAGTGTAAATGTGACTCTGTTGTTAACAATACTTATCTTCAAACTTGTGTTAATGTCTCTGTCACTTCTGATGAGATTTCTTCACTTTTTAGATTTTTCTTGAAAATTTGGCTTCTGCTGTAGATTGAGTAATGTCATTTTGTCTTCAAGTTTTCCCCCCTTAAAAAGAAAAAAACAGGCTTCCCTATTTATGTGGGCTTTCCAAAGCTTCTGTGTAGGTGTTGGGTAATGTGTCGGGTGAGTGCATGGGCTTCTGTCATGTGCATAGGCTCGGCCCTTGTAACCGTCTTGGTTCTTACGGCTGGGGATGCCTGCTGTCCTGTGTAGCATACTTAGTGTTCCGGTCACTGTTCCAGTACTTAAGACTCAAAATTATTTCACAATTCACTTAGCAAGCAGTTCCTAAAATGAGTCACAGGCTGATTGTTGGGACAAACCAGTGCATTTTCCCCATTTTAAAAACACTTATCTTACTCAGCCTGTAACTTTCCAAAGAACACTTTTCAGAAGTAGATTCCATTCAGATGTATGAAGATGTGTGTTCAGTTTATTTTCAGCATTTCCCAGACATCTCCTGGAAATGCCTCTTTTGCTACCAACAGTAAATGATGATGGGCTATTTAAAAACCACAACCAGCTTTCTACACTATTTTTAAAGTAATGCTTTCAATTAAAAAGGAAAAAAAGAATTCTAGTTTTCAGATACATTTTGGAGGCTTAAGCAAACTGTTTGCCTTTCCTTCAGAAGCCTGTTTGCCTTTAAGTGGACTTAACCAGCAAAATAGGTAAACTTCCTCTTAAAAAAAAAAAAAAGAAAAGAAAAAGAAAATCAGCAAGAACTGAAAAGAAAGGAGATTGTCCGAATCACCCCTTGAGTTTAATCATCTCCCATTCTTTTTGCCTTTTTGCTCAATCTAGATTTAGAATTAGGGTGTATATCATTTCCTTCTCTGTATTTGCAGTTATTTAGCTCCCAGTGTGCCTCTACGTTTTCAACAAATAAGAGGTTATAACATACAGACATAATTCTAACCTACAGGGAACAAGGGGTTCACATCCTCCTCTTCCCAGACCCTTCCTGTGCAGGACTCAGGGTGAGAGAGTCGTGAATCATAACATCTAGTAAGACCACAGGTGTAGAGTCCAAGGTCGTCATTAAGACTCCAAAGCCGTCCTCTGAAGGGACATTCAGGGTGGCCTTTCCGGGGCCTCCCAGTGGTGAGAGCTGAGGTCAAACCACGAAACTCAGAAAGCAAGACTGAAGGGCACCCCTCGCAGAAACATTGCACAGCAGTCCCAGAGAAGGGCTGTGTCCCTTTCCCTCCAGGGGACCAGTGACCACTGCCTCCAAGACTTGAGTATCAAAGTGTTACAAACAGAGAAGAACTGGATTTTCTGACTAAAACATGGAAGCAAAGTTCTATTTTGATCTTGAACTGGGGGAATGTAAGATTCCTGCTGGGTGATAATTTAGTGCATGACATTGTGAACTCAAATGTGAAATGGGCCTCATTTAGGCCTTTTTGTCCTGAGGTCCTATTTTTGAATTATCGGAATTAAGTCAACCTCTTTGCTTCTTGGGTCAGGGTAGGAAGTGGGGCATGACCTCCTTGGTAAAAATTTAAAATACATCATTGCAATTGCATTGACTTTATAATGTTAAATTACAGAAAAATGCTCTGATATTTTTAAACTTCCTTAATGGAAAAAAAAAACTCACATAGTTTTACTAGGATTCAAATGAGCAGTGGAAATGACTTTGAACATGTATTTTCTGAAATAAAGGACAACACTCTTCACTTAAAAGTCCCTACAGAGACTCGGGCAGATGCTAACACAGTTGTTTTACAGTGTTTACAATTCAGAAAATACTACTTATAGTACAAAATCCTCATCCTTTTAACATTGAAAAGGGGGGAGTTGCTTCTTTAACGTCAAATAGCACACAGTCCAGTACCAAGCAAAGACTTTCTAAACATTTTATATAGACTTAGAAAAATGTATTGATGGCTCACACCCAGACAGACTCTATATTGTAGCAGTTATTCCCAGGAAAACAGTGCTTCTCAAGAACGTAGTAGGTTTCAAGTGACAGAAGAACTTCTGGTCCTCCCGTCTCCACTCTGTGCTGTGCTGTGAGCCGGCGTGAGCAGCGTGGCTGGGAAACCTTTTCTGATGAAGTCAGGTGAATGTGTACTCTGCTAAACAGGCGAGCCACTTACATGTATGTGTAGTCATGGACTGGACTCGAAGATGTCTCTGAATTTCCAGGGGGAAAAATGAATTCTAAGATATCAATCAGCATTTATTCTGACTATTAATTTTATATTTTCATTTTGCAGTTCAACACTGTAAATAGCCAACATGAAAATCATGGTATAATTTATTCTACCTTGTGTGCATTGTCCAATACTTACAACCTGTCATTTAAAAGGTTCATTCAGGAAATGAGTGCTAGGTAGAAAGTCATAGATGTATATTTCATAATTTTTATTTATAACTCATAATTACTAAAAAGCTTAATAGTCATTGGTGTTTATTTTCATGCAGTTGTCCTTTGATAGTTCCTAGTTTGTAAACCTATTTCATTAAGTAAATCTAAAATCTTATAAATAATCATCTATAAAATTTATCAAGAAATGACCAGCCCATCCACATCATCATGGAATTCTTTTGGTGAATTACTTACCGTAACACCATACAGTTCAGTGCCTATAAGAAATGCTTTTTAAGGATGAAAATTTCTATAATGCCTCTTAAAGAGAACATAGTCTGATTTTTCTCACATTAAAAAAACTGTAGTCAGTTGTGGAGCTTGGTTATACTTTGCTGCATTTTAATTAACCTTCAACAGCTATTAAAATGGAATGTAAGTTAGATTTTGAAGGAAATGAAATAAATGTTTTCCATTTTCATCATGATTTATTTTCTGTATGAGAGCAGCTGTGTTTTTGATAGGTTTATGGTTTGCATGAATTAATATTTAAAGTGATCCAGGCCAATGCATGGCTATTGCTGTAAATCTTAATGTTTATTTCTGCCTTATAAAATTCTATCATTGCCTACCTGGAATTTAGTGGTCAGTGGACAAATTAATTGGTCCCCTACACAACTTTTTTCATAAATAGATTATTTTACACACAAAATTGAACAAATTTAATCGAATCTTTTGTTTAACTCACCTCTAAGAACTTTTCTTAACAAAGCTCACAAAACTTCTCAGCAAATAAATCTCCCTTAAGTAGTAAAAACCTACATCTCCTATTTGCTTACTTTGAATTAACAGCAGCTCTCTCTAGTTGAAGTCGGCTCTTGCAGATATGTGAGTAAGATATTAAGTAAATAAATACTTTTATGTTCATTGGTTCTAGAATAGAAGCCATAAATGCAGTTTTTTAAAAAAAAAAAAAACTGTTGCTTAACTATTTCAAGTTTCATTTTTCACATTTTCTAATTTATATGGTTAAAATAAAAAGAGGCAGCCCTGGAAGGCAGCTACCATGGAAAACTGCAGTTTTCAGTACAAATTAGTGTTCTCGGCTCCACGCGAAACCATTCCTGCTGAAACTGCTGTAGAGATTGTGACACTGCATGAGTGGGGAATCTGTGATCATCGTCGTTCTCTCAGGTTTGTTTATCTTGATGTTCAGTGCACTGTGTTTTATAAATAGTTATTAAAGTTGAGTAACATTCATTTCTATGCAGTGTTACGTGTCATTGGCCTTTTGTGAATGTGCATGTTTTAAACAACAGATTTCAAACATTTTGTCCTCTAATTGTTATTAAAATGAAATAAAATTTACCATTACATAAAGAAAAGTGTTGAAGTTTTGATTGCTAGTTTTAGAAATTATATTGCTTTATAAAACCCCCGAATCCATAGTAACTACCGTCTAGGAAGGTACTTCCATCTAATGGCTTATAATACATTTTGTTTACAACTCCAGTGATATGCAAAATATCACTTTGTTTTAATCCAGCTCCGTGAAATATGAGATGAAGTGTGTTAGCCCTAATCTCGTAAGAGAAGTAGTTTTGGTGAGTGATGAACTTCTATTATAAAATCATTGCATTTTGACTCTTCTGTCAGCAGCCCCTCCCCGCCAGGATTGTCCCCATTATGTATTTAAATCAGCTTGTCAAGTAAACAGCTAATTCATGGCTCCATCCTCTCATGGTGGATGAATTTCTTGATTTTTTTTATATTTTTCATTTATTGATATAAAGAGAACAGACTTCATGTATTTCATAGCTTTGATTCTGAGAGTATAACCATACTCTCCTCCCTCCCTCCGCCCTCCCCCCCCCATCTTTTTTTCTTTTAATTTTTGCGATTCACACTTTCAGTTTACTTTGTAACACAGGCTATTAATGCTCCTCTAAATGAACTGATCCACAAGTAAAAAGCTGAAAGACCACTGCTGCATAGGAATGCAGAGTGTTCTAAACAATCCTCAAATCACAAAAATCACAAGACGTCAGCTTCATTCGGACTCAGTAAGGGTGTTTTTTGTACTCTATATAGGCTACCACAAATCAGAGAAACACTTGTCTTTTGGGAGTCTTATTTCACTAATTTATGATAGTGGCCGAGTTTAACATTTGAAAGAAGTAAATCCTAAAACTGAACACATGAGGTTAAAGTAAAGGAGACATCAGAAATGAGAACACTAGCTGTTTCACAAACAAGCATCCTATGGGTGGGTGTGTGTGTGTGTGTGTGTGTGTGTGGAGCAACTGAGGAGTCTCTGATCTTATTAGATGGAGACCACGCTTGCTTAGCTGTCTAGAGTTCCGTGTCCTCCCACCGTCTTCTCAGGGTCAACCATTGGGCATGAGTCTCTGTGCAAAACCATAGCAAAACAACCCACAGAAAAGCTATCTGTGAATTCTATTAAGTACTATACACATTCAGCCCTATTCCCTTTCAAATAAACACGGTGTCTACACTGACCCTGTAGTCAGAAGGTGCCTTCCGATGCTACCAGAAGGAAACGGCAAACTTGAAACACATGTATTCCCATAAATTCAATGTCATCCCCACTTACTGTTTTTACAAGCATATCACATCTCGAACCTAAAGCTCCATTTCAGTACCACACAACCACTTCATTTTAACAAAGAAGGGTCTTTCTTACCTGGACAGTGGCACAAGTAAGCTAATAAAAATAGCTGGAAAATATCCAATATTTTTTACCATTCAGTTCTTACGACTTTCAAGTATAAAATGTAACTAGTGATTCAAGTAAGAATTCCCTGTCAGAATAATTTCATTAATAACAAATGTTTCATTGAAAGTTTAAAATAACCATGCACAAATAAAAATGTTTGCTCCCTTAGTAGTTTAACATGACTAGAAGGGCTTATTTTTCCTGTATATATACTAAATAAACCTTTTAGGTTATGCAGAAAAAGTGATCCCAACTCAATGAAATGTATCAGATTTTCAGTTGTGACCATATGAAGGGGTTTCAAAATGAAAAATGTATTTTAGGAAAAAAACTATTCATAGATTTCAAAATTTTTGCAGCAAAATAAATTTATCTTAATTTCATATTTCCACTAACTTTTGAAAGTACCTTTGAGTATACTTTCAGAAATCTTTTTGGTTATTTCATTTTATAGGGAAAATGTCCTATGGATTTAAGTCAATCTAGTAAATTCTCCATCCTAAGGAGTAGCTAAAAGAAACACTAACAAAGAATAAAGAGGTAGGAAAAAAAGAAGAAACAATCTCTCCATTTGGACGTTTAAAAATCCAATCCGTTGTCTTTCGAATGCATAACCATGTTAAAGCAAACTTACCATTTTAAATGTTTTTTTAAAGCAAGTAGTAAAACAAATTTATAGACATGAGTTCCCAACATGGTGGGAGGCAGCCCTACCCCGGGCAATAATGGGAAGTTGGCCAACCTCGGTATCAAAGGGGAACTGTGGTTACCAAGAGCATCAAACTGTTGGCCATTTTCTCTGTTCCCTGCTCCTGACTGACACATCTGCCTTCCACAGTACTGGACCTTTCATTTTTATTCTAGAATATTCCATCTGCTCCCCGCTATTTAGTGCTGATGTGTTGCACAGTTCCCTCGCCACTGGAATGTTAATTACTTGAGAGGATGCCTCTCACTTCTCAGGACAACCCTGAGCAGTAAGGTGCTCCTAATAGCTCCACTTTACAGATGAGAAAACAGATAAATGCAGCGAAGTCATTACCTAGAATAGAGTTAATCCTCTGTATATAAAGTTCAATGAAAATGAATCTTGGTAAAAAAAAAAGGGGGGGGGGAGGAGGAGAGGAGGGGTGGGAGAGTGGGTGGGAGGAGGGCAAGTACAGTGGGAAAAATTACTATGTTTCCAATGTTGTGTTTGTGAAATGCATGCAAATAAATTTTTTTGAAAAAGGCAGTTAAGAAAATAGCCAAGGGGTTGACCTTGTGGCGTAGCAGGTTAAACCACCAGCTGAGACGCCAGAATCCCATGTTGGTGACAGTTCAAGTCCTGGCTGCTCTGCTTCCAATCCAGCTCCCTACTTATAGCTTGGGAAAAGCAGCAGAAAATGGCCCAAGTGGTTGGACCCCTGACCCATGTGGGAGACCCAGAAGAAGCTCTGGCTCCTGGCTTCGGTATGGCCCAGCCCTGGCCATTGCAGCCATTTGGGGAGTGAACCAGCAGATGGAAGCTCACTCCCGCTCACTCGCTCGCTCTCCCTCCCTCCCTCTGTAACTCTGCCTTTCAAATAAATAAAAATTTTTTTTTTCAAAAAGAGGGAGGGGGAGAGAGAGAGGAATACTCAAAAGCTACTCCTCTTTTAAGAGACAGAGCCAGAAAACTCAAAAGCTCAAAATCCATGCTAAGGGTAGACATTTGAGGCACCAGTTGAAACACTGGCTTACAATGCCCACAAACCACATCAGAGTACCTGGGTTTGAGGTCTGGCCCTTTTAGGATTCCAGCTTCCTGCTAATACACCTAGGAGCAGTGATGATTCGAGAAATAGGGTTCCTGTCACCTACGTGGGCCCAGCCCCAGCTGTTGTGGGCATTTGAGGACTGAACAAGTCAACAGAAATTTTCTGTCTCTCTGCCTTTCAAATAAATTAATTAAAAGCTAAACCAACCTTTTGTGCCCTGTGTCTCACATGCGTATGGAGAGAAACATTTATCATCTAGTACCTCTATTCAAGCTTTTTTTGTATTCTGTGTGCTCATAATATAGCACAAACTTTACTTATTTCAAACCCCTGATATTTGTAGGATGTAATATTACACAATTAATGTTCCTCCCACAGATTTTCTTTCTTTTTCTTTTTTTTTTTTTTTTTTTGATAGGCAGAGTTAGACAGTAGACAGAGAGACAGAGAGAAAGGTCTTCCTTCCATTGGTTCACCCCCAAATGGCTGCTACAACCGGCACGCTGCACCGATCCGAAGCCAGGAGCCAGGTGCTTCTCCTGGTCTCCCATGCGGGTGCAGGGCCCAAGCACTTGGGCCATCCTCCACTGCCCTCCCGGGCCACAGCAGAAAGCCTCTCCCACAGATTTTCTGAAATTAGGATGGATATATTTTCCTGAAAAATGTAGGCCTTCTAAGCCTAATGTCATAAAAATTGTAGTTTCAAAGCAGACTGCCTGGGTTCCAATCTGGGCTCTCCTACTATTATCTGCCCTTGGACGTGGTGATTAACCTTCCTGTCTTGATTTCATCTGCAAAACAGGCAGGATAGCCCCTGTTTCAGGGTTGTGAAGATGAAACAGTACAATCCATAAAGCACTCAGAATATACATGGGCTTAATAAATGTTATTCATTATTGACATAAGCATCTTTTAGGGTATAGAGCTTTCACTGTTAACAATAACCATGGTTTGAAGATGTTGAGGCTCACTTTTATGTTTGTGTGTGTGTGAAAGTAACAAAAGCATTGAAGTGTTTGCTGCAATCTGGTGTTGTGGCAGGTTACGGTGAATATCCCTGTGGAAAACCAAGTGATTTGTGTTGACCCCTGCTGTCTAATCTTCCCAAGATGAAGACGTGATAAAGCCACTGCCCTCTGTAAAACCCTTCAAGGTCTGTCTTGCAACTGGTGCATTTCTCAGCCACCAACCTAGCATTCAGGATCTCTCCACCCTCACTCGTCTTTTAGATTCTGTGTCTACTTTCCAGAATATTCTTGTTGTTTCATGCCCATGGATACTTCTGTAATATGCGCATCCCCTTATTTCCATCCATGTTCTCTTCCTCTACCTCTTCCTCCTCCCCTCTCCCCAACCACCCCTGGACTCCTTCATTCAAATTCCAGGCATATCTCAAGGCTCAAGTCCAAATTTAACCCTTCCAGGCTGCATGAACGCCCTTTGTCCATGCTGCCAGGGCATGCTGTACTCCCCTGCAACCATCACAGTTAGCTCAAGGCAGTTCAAGTGTTGGTTTATGAGTTCCTCCTCCCTTGTCTGACTGTGAGTTCCTAGAGAGCCCAAAAGGTAACAAGATTCTTTCATAAAGCACCTATACCATTTACCACAAGTCCCTGTGAAATAGTGGCTCCTTGAGTTAGAGGTGCAGCTTATCATTTATCTTGGGATTCTCAAGCCCTATTACAGTGCCTCACAGGTGTTGTTCCAAAAAAGCTGGTTGAATAGGACGCATCTGGAATTCTGTCACAGGATGGCCTTGTTACCCTAAGATTGTGAATAATAATATCACCAGCTATGTAGCTTCTAGATAGAAGGTCAAAGACATGCACTATGCCACCAAGTACGTAAGAATGTGATGTGATTCAGTATCACTGGATGTCTAATGAGGTAGCATTATCTCCCTAATTTTAAATGATATATGGCCAGTTAACAGACTGGGACATCCTACTAAGGAAGGGAAATCTGCAGATGTGAGCTCTCTATGAATTCCTTAGTGTTCATCAGCCTGGTGGACATAACTGCTCTCCAAACGGTTGGCAAAAGTACAGTCACAGAAGAAACCGGCTGAACCTGATGGTTCTACTGGGTGTGGTTCCACCCTCTGGAGGACACTGTGGAACTGCAGGGGGACACCTGTGGTATTAGAATGCTTGAGGACAGAGTGGGTGTGCTGCTGGCATTCACTGGGTGGAACTTGGTTATTACAGAGATACTGCAATGATTGAAGCAACCTGCACAATAAAGGCTCTATGTCCAGGACCAGGACTTTGGAATGTCCCACCATTCCTATTGGCATACAAAATTAATCCCATTGTACCTATAAAGAACGTACTCATCTTCATATATACCGAATTTCCCAGGTATACAACTATTATGAAAGTCAAAGGAGGTTCAACCTTTGCTTTGTTTGAAAAGTCACAGTAACAGCAGCAGGGCAACCGTGTTGAGCTGCCCATCTCACACACCTGCAGTGATACGGATTCGGAGCTGCTACACCCCTGTGACTCTGCATAAGGAGTTAGCCTCTGAGCTCTTTGAGTCTGCTCGAGTTGTTCGATTTTGAAACAAGTTACTTTCCTTTTCTTGCTCCTTTCTATTTACCAACACTATTATAATTATGTGTTAGGTTGTGAGTTTCATTTTAGGAGAGTTAAAGGATGTCACAGAATGTTTGTTCCAAGGAGAGCTCCTTGGGTCGGCAGGGCTGAGAATCACTGCCTTGGAGGCTTTAACTCACACTCGTCCTCTGCAGTGGATTTTGTGTACAGAGAGGTCAGAATCTCAAAGCCAGAGTTTCCTCTTGATGTTTGATTCTGTTTTTGCGTACCAACTCCAGGAGGGACTAACTGTGGGACCTATTTCTCTCTGCCTCAATTTCCAAATCTGTACAATAGGAATTATAATCCCACCCTGCTGAGGTTGTTTGGGGGATAAGTTAGTACATGTAAATAATTAGAAGAGTGCTCAGCCCATAATAAGAGCTCAATAAAGGTGAACTTAAAACTGAAAGAACAAGCAGTACACAGCAAACAGATGAAATCAGTCTGATGGTATAGGAGTGTGGCCACCCTCTCACCCCACCATTTCCTTCCTGAATTATCTGGAGTAATTTGAGATACCTGGGAACAAGGCCCCGTGTGGACGTGCAGGAAAGCAAGAGACTGGAAGTCAGAGCCATTAGACTGAGCAAATCTTTGAACTTGTTTCCTCATGTGGAAAACAAAGCAGGGCCATGCAACTCTCTGAGATCCAAGTTCAACCTTTGCCCGGTTGTGCTCAGAAAGAACCACTGAGGGAGACATGTGATAGTACGAATTCGTGTAAACCTGCACTCCCAGACCACGCTGCAGGGGCCAGGTGGGCCAGGCAGGGGAAGGCCAGCAGGAAGCCAGCCAGCGGCAGGCGGTGCCCTGTCTGCAGAGGGTTGGCTTGACCCCATGGCAGAGAAGGACGCACCATGCCACCCTTCTGCATGTCACAAGCCAGAAATCCAGACTCTTCCAAGCAGTGTCGCTTTGCTAAAACTCTACAGGCCAAAGGACTTGTGCAAGGGCTGCGTACAACCCTCAGACAGCTTGAAAATGGCGATTCCTCTGCTGCTCTCCTAAGCCCTGCTGGAGACAAAAAATTAATCTCAAGATATGAGGTAAAGACATTTCTTTTTATTGAATAACAAACAATATCACTAAGGAGATAAAATGAAGTGCTTTGATTTGAAATTCAAATAGAGTTCATAAAAACATATTTTATTTATTCTAACCCAGCAGGATATTTGCCCAAATACATACATAATCATGGGGCATGAAATTCAGTGGCCCTTGAGATAGGTAATATTAGATGATTACACCAATAGCTGGACTTTGATCTCCACCATTATCATTAACAGAGAAATTACAGTGTGACTACTAAATAATTAGTACTGTCAGTGTAGTAAATACATTAAATTACCAATTTTTACATTTGTACATAACTCATTTTACAAATAAATGTTTTAAGACCCAACTGTCCAACTTTCATTTAAACACTAAATGTTGCTGAACAAAAAGTCTGCAATAAATATTCCCTCAGGTGGGTTGGGGAAATGACTTTACATAGAAACTGTGTTGCAATGAATGAATATATAAGAATGCATAAAACTTGAAGCTCCTCCTGTGGTTACTGAAACTTTGAATTATTGAAAGAAAACTTTAATATTTGAAACAAAATTTAGTTATTAATTTAAAAAGTTAATGTTCCCAACATGCTAATATTATTAGGTTACTCCAAAAGATATAAATAGGTTATTCACTGACTTCTCAAGTTTACTTCATAGTTAATTTTTAACTGATCCTTTGATAATCACAATTAGGTATTTTTCTTTACTCATTTATGTATATTTGTATTATAACTCCATAAACAACTGATGTGAAAAAGGATCATGTAGCCCTTTCCTAAGCACTATGCTGCTAAATTGTCGAGTAAAACATTTTCAGTCAATTTGTAACTTCAAAGTCAAACTGTTGCATATTTTGAATAGAAGTAGCATGGGTTGAAATGTAATAGTCACAACATCTGCCAAGCCAGACATCCTGTGATTGTAGCCAGGAACCTCAAGACTAGAAAGCGCTGTGTTTTCTTACCACTTTCCGCCATGACGTTGGTCAGTTACATGAGAAATTTCTTCAGCAAAGCACTTGACATTGGAAGCATCACTCTACCTGTCTGCCACTTTACTACATGCTGGATTCATGGCCATGACCTGTCAACTGGAGCTGAAGTCTGGACAGCTCTTCCCAGGCAGCGGGGGCTCCTGCTGAAGGGGGTAAGCGAAATACTGAGGTGACACCAGGAAACCGGATGGCTGTGTCAGGTGGATTGGGTGGCCTGTGGTGTAAGGCGGGGGAGGTGAGGGCACCAGGCAGCTGGGCTCCGCCCTGGCGAAGGAGAATCTGCGGATGGAGCCACCTGTGGAGCTGGAGCTGGTGGCTGTGCTGGACTGTCTGGAAGGTGTCCTGAGGCTCGTGGAGGTCAAGATCATGGGCAGGGTCTCTGTCTGATAGCTGCGGAGTGAGAAGCGGATTGGCTGCTGCGAGGGCTCCTTGGGTCTCAAACAGGTGCAACAATAGATAGCCACTAAAGAGCCCAGGATGATGAATGCAATGAAGATGGAGCCGACGATGAGGAAGGGGACGTAGACCGGCTCTACAAGGCAAAAACAGACACACAAGTGTTTGCATCAGGGTCTCCCAAGCCTGGGCTCTGCCTGGGCAACTGAGGGGAGGGAGGAGGAGGCTCAGTATTACCACTGTCGTCAGCTCAACTTTTCAGAGCCTATTACTGCTAACCTCGGAAGTGCAAGCTGTGATGACAGAATATTCTCACTACGCTAGCAGGGAGGAAGCAAACTGACACTGTAGCCTCTGTTAGCAATTAGCCACCACACCACACATCTGGAAGTCAGAAAGGCACAGAATCTGTCCTCTTGTTCATGCCCTGGAGGGGGTTACTATAACTATGGGACTGAATCCGGGAGTTTAGTAGTTTTGTCATGGTGGGGCACCTGGGGTTTTGACCCATCTCTCAGGCTGGCCATCCATCTCCTGTCCAAGATCTCCAAGCCAAGCCCGGACACTCAGGCCTTGTTAGAGATCCCCCTCCAGGGTTTTAAAAGACTCTAAAAATAACAACATAAGGAAAGCCACAGAGGCTCCAATTCACTGTGTCTCCTGTTGCATCATAAATTGTCAGCTCTTCCTTCCTTCTTTGAGCACGATTTGGGATGCCTGTTCCACCTGCCATGCCTCTGTCTCTGCCTGCACACCCACAGTCTGGGAAAGCCAGGCTGAACTGCAGAGAGTTCTTGGTGTCGGCAGCCCAGGCTCCCACAGCTGAGAGCATTTCCCTTTCTCTACTAGACAGACATTTCCCACCCCCACCCCGACCCGGTTCAGTTCTCCATGTCTCTCCCCTTCTGATAGAGCCACGATGGGATGCAGCCTCCAGCTCAGGGAGAAGAGAAAAGCTGCATTGACTCAGCCCTACTGTGCACCTGGCTCTTTCATGATCTGACTCAAGTGCCACGGAGAACCTGTTAAAAGGACACGCTAAGCTGGCTTACCCATGGGTTTTTGACTTTTCCAAAAACACAGCCAGCGGCTGACAGGTAGCCTACAACCTCGGGGGACTCCCGGGTCTAAGCCCTTGCCGGCCACCCACTCTCCCGCGGTTAACGGCCCTGGGGAGCAAGGCAAGGGAGGTGACTGCCGGCCCTCACGGCGCGCCCCGCCAAGCACTCACACACTCATCTCATCAACAAGCAGGCCCGGGCCAGCGAAGAAACTTGCCCAAGGTTACACCCTTGGCAAGCGACAGACCCTCTGGGCGCCTGATCCCAGCCTCGGGGAGAGGGAAACCGCTCCTCTTCCCTGCTGTCTCTCCCGCCTCGGAGAGAGGGGAGGCCCCGGAGGGAGTCCGGCTGCAAACCCGGCAGCTCCCCTCTGCGGGGAGGAACGCGCTGCCCACCGACCCAGGCGGAGCCGCTGCGGTTTTCTAACAGGGCAGAGCCACCGGAGTCCCCTACTTTCCGCTGAGCACCTTTTCTCCAGAAACCACTCTCCAAATCCTCCAGATTGGACCCCCAGACTCCCGCAATTCACTCCCTTGAGAGCCTGGTGGACCCGCATAGGGCAGGCTCGGCTTTCCTCGAGGGCAGCAACTGGGGAGGAGGGCCTCCTCAGCGAGGCCGCCAGCCTTCCCCGGGACCCTCCCCGGCCGGCGTCGGGCTGCGGCCCCTGCGACCCTCCCTCGCCCCCCTCCCCGCGCCGCCCCGCTCCGGGCTCCGCCCGCTTCTCGGGTTTCCGGACCGTAAAGCCGTCGCCTGGAGCGCTGAGGGGTTCCCCTGACGGTCCGATTCAGGTGGAAACATTTTTTTTTTCCAAGGTGTAAATTTCCTCTGCTGGGGTCGTGATTTATTCCCCTCTGAAGTGAGCGGAAATTTGACCCATGTTTTCCGACGTGAGAATAGGGGGCGGGGAAGCCCCTTCGACCCCGGTTTCTAAATCTCAACCTCCAAGTCCTGGGTGTTGCTGAAAGGCGTGACAATAGGGGGTGGGCAGGGGAGAGTAAATCGATGCAGAGAAATGAAAGGAAGTCGGGAGAGTGGAGCAGCGGCTTAAAAATGCTACAGGGACGGTGGGAGAAAAGGAAGGAGGGAGGGAGGGAGGGAGGAAGGGAGGGAGGAAGGAAGGAAGGAAGGAAGGAAGGAAGGAAGGAAGGAAGGAAGGAAGGAAGGAAGGAAGGAAGGAAGGAAGGAGAGAGGGAGGGAGGAGAAAGAAAAGAAAAAGAGAGGAAGAAAGGTTGAAGTTGCTTAGCGCAGCGGGCCCACAGTCGCGCTGCCCCTCCCTTGGCACCACGGTGGCCCCTCGCCGCCCCGAAAGCCGCGCGTAGTCTAGTGCTACCCCGACGGCCCTTCTCCCCGGACCTCCAGCGTCCTCCCCAGGACCATCAGGTGCAAACTCCCGGTGCTCGCTGTCCCTAGCCAACTTTCACTGGCGCGGACTCGCGGGGACCGCCTGTGGCGGGAAGAGGGACTGCAAAGGAACAAGGCCCCCTGACCCGAAAACGCGACCACCCACTCCTCCCTTGATTCCCCCACACCTGGCTGCTGCGTGCACTCTGCGCACAGACCCTGGGAGGCCTGCTCATCCCGCCCGGGAGCACTCGGACGCCCGCGGCGTGTCTGCGCGGGACTTCTCCCCAGGGCTTGGCACTTACGCGCGGTGATGCCCGGGTGCTCCAGCTCGCCGCGGTCGTTCGTGCAACCGCCTTGCTCCAGCCTGGCGTCGGCCGCGGCGCAGCAGTAGCGGAGCGCGCAGGAGCCGCAGCAGATGGTGGCGTCCAATGTGTCGAAGTCCTCCGGGCATTGGAAGCCCTCGTGATAGTTGCCCTGCACGTCCACCCAGCCGTGGCAGTACTCGCCGGACTGCTGGGCACCCGCCGGGCCCCAGCGCAGCCAGCCCAGGAGGCAGAGCGCCAGCAGCGCCCCCATCGCCGCTGGAAGCCTGGGCGGCGGGGAAGGGGACGCACGCAGCTGGAGAGCGAAGGGCTGAGCTGGGACTCCCGGCACCGCAGTTCCGCCTCCCTTGGGGCACGGCACGGGCGGCGGACCGCTCCCGCGGAGGCTAGCGGTGGCCGGAGAGGCGACAGGGGCTGCGCTGAGGGCTCGGCAGGCCGGGGGTCTGCATGGTGCGCGGGAGCGAGTTGGCGAGGGACCACGGGAGGTGCTGGCAGAGGCTGCTGCTGCTGCCGCCCTTTGCCAGGCTCATCACGCGAGGGGCGCGCGGATCCCCCGGCCACCTCCCTCCCCACTCCTCACGGGAGCCATCGCGTCGGGCGGGGGCTGCCAAGTCCAGGACCACAAGGCGTCCCGACTTGTGGCTGTAGCCGGGTCCCGAGAGGAGCCCCGAGGAGGCAGAATTTGTCCCCCACGTGCGGCTGCCCAGCCCCCGCCCTTGCCTGTCACGGGAGCCGGAGTCAGCCTGGCCGCGGCCAAGTGCAAACGGCCTCCCGGCTGCTGACAGCTCTGCCAGCGAGGCGTCCCTTAAAAAGGAAGAGGGAGAAGAGGGAGGAGGAGACGACGAGGGTGAAGAGAGAGTCCGCCCTCCCGGGTGTCGCGGTTGGAGCTAATCACAGCGGGCGCGGCGCGCGCTGCGGGGCCTCTGCGCTCTCTGGTTCGCGCGCGGTCCGCCGCCTACCCCTGCCACCCCCGCCCATCGCGCTCCCCCAGGACCCGACGCTAAACCTGCGGGACCGGGCCCTCCCCCGCACACACCCCAGCCCTCACCCAGCCCAGACAAGCGCGCGCAGAGGTCAGGCTGCGGGGTTCCACGTGTGTCCACGCGCGTCGGCGCGGTGACTGAAGTTTGTCGGATCTTCTCTCTCTTCGTTCCTGGGACACCGATTCTCGGGGTTTGGGACTCACAACACGATATTTACGGGTCGCCAACGTTAGCACTGAGTTTCCACCTGCGTCGCCGCGGTTCCCGGGAGAAAGGGCCGGTATTCCCACGTTCACACCCCCTCGCCCCCTCGCCCGCCCTAGGCTGAGCGCCTCCGCTCCCCTTCGCCAGCCGAGGCTCGCGCGCCCGAACTCAGAGGGCGTGACTTCGCGGTTCGCGCCCGCAAAGGACATAAAAGAACAAAATGAATGATAATTGAGCAGATCTGAACTTCTGTTCGGGCAAAGAAACACATTTCTTTAAATGATGTGTCCCCCGTGTGCTATTTGCAGGGGCACTGCTCCTTTAGCGGCGTAAGTGCCTTATGAGCTGGTGTTATGTGAAACCTGGGCCAAACTCAAGAATTTATTTTTACTGCACCCTGAGCTTCCTCTCATCGTTTATGGGGATGTGTGAATGTGTTCGGCGTGGCTCCGTCTATTTGTCAAACACGCTGAGTACCCGTGTCCCTCATGCAGATGCTGGCAAAGTGAGTGAAACCAAATGGGCTCTGCACTAGCGATGCCAGCATGCGTGTCTGTCGCACCTGCAGCTTCGCGATGGTCCAGTCTGTTCTAGATACTTTTTAAAAAAAGAGAAAAAAAAAAAACCCTCCGAATAAAACGGCTGCTTTTACAAAATCTAAGCTAAAGTGTACTCCAACTAAATAATTACTTCTGACTTCTAATTTTTAAATACTGGGATTATCCTTTGGTTTATAGCCCTGTAAAACTAAATGTCCAACACATTTAACATGTTCAGTAGGACTGTAAATATTTAACTTTATTCTCTTAGAAATAGATGTTTCTTGGGACATTAAAAAGCTATTCAGTAAAATAAAATTAAGTTAGGGCTTTTCTTTTTAAATCAACCAACAACTCTTGGGACACTTTATATTGCTTTAAAGAATTTAAACACATAGAAAATTGTTTTGCAGAAATTTTTTAGGTACTGGGTCTTTATTTACCAAAAAAAAAAAAAAAAGTGTTCTTGCCACGCTTAATGAGTTTTTTTTTTTTTTACCCTAGTTTGTTTTTAGGAGTGTTATTAGTGTTGTAAATATATCCTAAGCACTGAAGGGGAAAAGTAATTTGGAATCACAGCAAAGGTGAGATGGAATAATTACAATAAGATGCTAAAACTACAAAGACATATTTACTGCTAATAACTTTCCCAGAACCACACCTCTTAGTGTTATTGTTGTTAACATGGAGAGGAATTTCATTACATCACAAGTACATCGAGTTCTGCGGCAGCAGCCTCTGCAGTCCCCAAGGGTCAAGTTTCTCTCATTACCCAGCTGTTCTTTGATAGCATTAATATTTTAGGGAGTGATTTGTTGCCGCTTACCTCCCATTAATTACATTCTCCCTGCCACGGTGGGATTCTTTTCCTTGAGACACCGGCTATAATTAATTCCCCCATTCAAAGCCCCTGTCTATGCGACTTACTCAAAGGGCATTTTACCCGAATTCAGTTGGATGATATTTACTAGTGGAAAATATCAAACCTCCAAATTACTTGATACTCCATAGATCTGACGTGTATGAACATGAAAACATCTGTGTGCCTTGCTTTCCCATCTAGGTCCTGGTCTAAAGTTGCTTTAAAACTGTACAATAATCAGCTGTGTGTGTGTGTGTGTGTGTGTGTGTGTTTAGAGGGGGGATGGGGTCACACAGGAGGAAGATACGTGTTTGATTTCTTATCATGGAAGCTCTCCTTGAACTTTACCTTCAAACATGCTCTGAGAATGCTCTTTGCCAACAGTGAGGGAATATGCACTAGTTTATAAGCATCCGAACTTTCTGTGCTTGCGTCACTAATTAGTAGTAAAGGAAGAAGACTTAAAAAGCCCTCGGAGACCCCTTTCAAAGACTCAAGGGGCAGACATGCAGAGATGGAAAATCCAATCTATACAATCTGGCGTATTCTGTAGACGTTTTAGAAATTCTATCTTTTTCCTTATCTCAGTAACACAAATTCCATATTTTGGTGAAGAGCACAATGCTAAGAGATCATTTCCCCAGGCTACCCTCTCCCGTGGCCTTGCCTGCAGGAAATTCTGTAGGAAATGCATTAAATGATATGATGTCTGGGATTTGCTTTAATAAACACCGGTGAGGGGAGGTGAGGGAAAAAGAAGAGAGAGAAAGCACCAGAGATGAGGAACGGGGGTAGAGGAAACAGCAAAGCCAGGGCCCTGTTGATCATTACAACTGGGTCACAGGAACTTGCAAAATTGCAATGCCGGTATTTTTACATTTTACATACTCTGTGTTTACATATGTGTAACGGTTACATAGTGAAAGGCTCTTTTTGTAACTAATCAATGGGATCAATGTGATGGCAACATGAAAAAAGCTCTGACCTATACTTTAATTGTTATATATTTACTGCCATCCAAAATGGCTGTGATTTCTTCAGAAGGGAAGCTGTACAGAGGAAAACAGCCCATCTTCCCGGGCTGTGGCTGTGCCCTGAGCCCAGCACTTATGCATAGTGCCTGAACGAAGTCATAATAAAAGAACCACAGTGATAAATGTACAATTCCACAATGCGCATCAGGTGACATATGGGGAGTTGTTTGCAAATAAAAAGCAATCAGACCTACATACTTACGTATTATATGGTCCTATAAACACCTTTCAAAATTTTTTTTCTTACATTGTTTCAAAAGTGTTTTTATTATTATGTAACGCTTGGACAGTTTTATGTGATTCAGTACAGTACTTTAATACATATACACAGCCCAAACCAATCAAATCAGGCTACCAGACTGTCCATATCCTTTTTGTGTGTGTTTGGAACCTCTCTCCCAGTTTTTTACACAGAATATAATATACATTACTGTGCTCTATAGTCACCCTCTGTGCTATGTACAATATTTTTAAAACTTGTCCTGTTCACTTCTCTCTTTGTTCTATAGTCTTTGGGGCAGAGTGAATAATTTGAGAAAAGCAGAAGCAAAGAATTGAAGAGAAATAGAACAACAAGGATGTGTCAGAAAGGGTCAGGAACTTAAATGGACTAAGGAAAGGGAGTAAAAAGAACAATTAACTTTGGCCATGGAGCCTCAAGATCACGGTATTTGTAGGAACTTAAACAAACAAACCAACCCCAACACTCATTTGCATTGGGCCCAGAAACAAAACAGAAAACCAAAAAAAAAAAAAAATTTTTTCTCAACAGTTCTTCAAGCTCCTTTGCTGGAGTGATTTGTTATCACTTGATTTCCTTCAATTATTTTGCCTGTTACTTAATGCAATTCTTGTCCTTGGATCACTCACGGTAAATTTCTTACTTCAGGCCCCAGTCAATCTGAGTTACTCAAAAGGTATTTTTCTCTTAAGCTGGCTTTGGCACATGGTCACAACTAGGGAGTAGCAAAGTACCCAAAATTGTGCTGTCCAACCTAGGCAAGCCAGGCCATTCCTCCTGCTCTAAGCCTTAGGCAGCCAAAGTTTCTCCACTTAGAATAAAAGGTTCGTGTAGGCCTCTCAGAGCAGTTTCTCAAACAGTAGTGTGCTCACAAACCACTTGGGGTCTTGTTAAAGAATTTGTATTGCGTGTGTGATGGTTTTGTCGAGTTACTTTTGTTTTTACATTTGAAAGGCTGATGATGGACAGAGACTGCGCATCTGCTGGTTCACTTTCCAAATGCCCTCAGCAGCCAAGGCTGGGCCAGGCCAAAGCCAGGAGCTAGGAACCCACCCCATCAGGATCTTCCACCTGGGTGGCGGGAACCCAAGCACCGGGTCATCATCTGCTGCCTTGAAGGTGCATTAGCAGGAAGCTGGATTGGAGTGGAGGTGGACTTGATCTTGTGCACTGCTATATGGGATGCCGACATACCAAACAGTAGCCTAACCCACTCCCACACAATGCCTGCCCCAAAATACATATTTTGACTCACAGGATCTGTAATGGGGCCTAGGATTCTGCATTTCTAAAAACTCCCAGATGATGCCAAAGCTACAGGTTTGAGGCCCAAACTCTGAGCCCCTGTGGCCTTCCGCTGCCTTTGTCCCCAGCCACAGGAGAAGGCGGGAATGAAGCCAAACAGCTCTGCCTGTTCAAAGCCTGTTTCCTCCTTTTCTGTTCCACTCTCTGGACCCTGGATCCCAGCACTCCCTAATCAAACAGGCCACAAATTGTTTCTAGCATCTACAGAAACCTCTTTTTGATTATAAGAAGTTCTAGGAAAAGATAATTGGAGACTTGTACACGCATGCTGGCGAGTCCAAACACAGAGTTTATGAAAGGCCCCCACAGTGCAAGATGGAGTCAGGGATGGCAAGACAGGTGGCAGAGTGGGAGGACAGACTCAGACTTGTGGCTTCCTTGTCAATTCCTGCCCTGGCTCACCAAGGTCAGAATGGGCTGCTGCCTAGCACATCATGGAGACCCTGTAAGTATTCCTAGAGGGAACAGATGAATGAGTGCATAAATGACAAAATGAATGCCTTCCCTTGGTAATTCCATAGCACTTAACACAACGCATTGTAATTTTGTGTTAGGGTGACTGTTCCTCCATTGGTTTGACCTCCTTTTCATTAGTGTATACTGTAACCAGTGGATAGAAGTTCTCTCTGTCTCTCCCTCTCTCTCTCTCTGTGTATGTGTCTCTGTCTGACACTTTGCCTTTCAAATAAACAAATCTTTTAAAATAAGTAAATAAATAAAAATAAAACAGGGGTGGAGCAGGGTGAGAGAATAATCCCCACCTTGACAGATTTCATAAGG